GACAGTTTCGAGACCATTCCAAAACACGATCATTTTCATTTTTATTTTTTCTTTGGCTTTTGTTTAATGTTATTAGGAAAAAATTAACGAGCCAACGGTTACATTATAAAAATCCAGTTAAAGAATAATACTTTGAAAAAAAAGCGACATGCATATGAGAAACTATCGAAAAAAAACTTTTGAAATTCTGTCGAAGTTTATTATTTCAATAGATCTTTTTGTTTTCTGTGAAACATAACAAACAAAATAGAAGAATGACAAAGGAACGTATATTTATGACTGTATTTGAACAAGATATAATTCAGAACAAAGGTCGGTGACACCTAGAGTTGAGTTCTATCTACTATAATGACATTTGATAATGATTGGTTGTGCTTTTGCCCAACTCATCGTAACCCATGATTCATCTATTCAAAGTTCTTTTTTTCTCAACGATCATCCATCATTGTCTCTTCTATGAAAAATGGATAAACAAAATGAAGAAAAAGATGGGAAAATTGAATCTTTAACATCGATATCATCAAAGGATTTGTTGACTACAATTTATGACATAAATCGAGCTATTTTTCGTCATTTACCTATTCGTTCAGTGGATTCAAGTTCGTTGGTTTGTCAATCATGGGCTCACATAGCTCGTTTAACTAAAGCACATCGTCATACAATTCATACATTAACTTATCCATCAAATCTATCATCTTCAAGAACGACATGTTCTTATTATGTGTCTGATTTTAATACAGTTATTTCGTCATATATAAACGATAATCTTTGGTCATTACCATCGTTGGCTCTAGTTGTTGTTACGAATGTATTAGATAGAAAAGGTTTTATTTCACCATCGAACTCACCACCACCAACAAAAACATCAAAACGATCTCGATCTCAAACTACAGCTACACAAACAGAACTTAATATACCACAAGCATTAATTCGTCATTTCAATAAATCATGTAAAATTTTACAAGTAGCATCCAATGGCATCGTTGTATCAAATGATGAAAATCAATCCTATGAAATTGAATCCGGTAAAAAAAGTATTTATAAAGTGGAAGTAAAAAGTTTAAAAACGAAGTATTTTTTTTTAAACTTTTTTCCTCAACAAAAACAACTAGGTTATCATTCGCTGAAGGTAGGTTGAGAAGGACTCATAACATCAAAATATCTTTTCTATCGGATAACTTTGTTTGCAAAAAGGTTTTTTGAAAGAATTCAGAAAAATTGGTTTTGAGAATCTTGATTTTTGAGAGACTTTTGATTCACATCTGTTAATAAGAATTTAACAAGTACTTCTCTTGATAGAATATTTTTTTTCAGTTGAATCAAATATCGATCGATTTTGTATTTCTTATTACTTTTTTTTTATTTTTAGACAGTGCTATGGGTATTTTACTTTTTCCAAAATTGCCATCGAATGTTCTTGGAATATATCCATTTGAAATTCCATACACTACTAAAATATCTGCTGATATGTCTCGTTCAGATATGCATCATTTATTTGGTTGTGTACCTGATGATATACCTATTCGATGTATTATATTTTTCTTTACTCAACGTCAATCACATAGTGTTGATTGTATTAAAAAATTGCTTGAATATTATCCATCAAATGTAGCTATTATTGGCGGTTTTGTTAATAAAATTCGTTATAATGATCGACAAAGTCAATTTAAACCATCACTATATAACACAAGTGGAATTGTTCTAACCGGTGATCCAAACCATTTAAATATTAAACAAATTTTATTAGAAAGTCATATCGATACACGTGAAGGTGTAAAAGATAAATTAAAACAATTAAAATCTATTGAAAGTAATCGATGTCTATCATTTGCTATACAAGTTAGTTGTGTTGCTCGTGGTTCAGATTTTTATAATGGAGAAAAAAATGTTGAATGTACAGAATTCAGAAATTTGTTTCCTAAAACACCATTGATTGGAATTTTTGGAAATGGAGAACTCGGTCATGATCATTTACTAAATGATAATCAAATATCGACACAAGAACAAATAAACACAAAAAAAAACATTACTGATATAATTCATGCTTATTCAACTGTATTTTCACTTATTACATTACGCATGTAAAACATTATATTTTATGGAATAAAAAATGCGTTACTTTCTACTTTGTATAATAGTGATAAATATAAATAATCTTGCTTTGTCTTTAATCTCACATGAAAATGAAATGATCGGTGATTGTTTTTGGTAGAATAATGAAATATCAGAAGCAAGAACTTTTTCAATCTTATGTAATGCTTGTTCGACCTACTGTGAAATATTTCTGAAGTTATTTCAAACTACAATAAACCTTACAAGATGGCTGAGAATATTACAGTATCTACCTTGTTGTTTTTTCATCTCTTTGCTGACATATCATCTTGTTCTGATAGTGAATATTGCATGGTCGCATTTTTCGTCAGAAGTTCTTTTCGTTATATCCTCGTCGTGTTTTGCTTGATGCATCGTTTGCAATATGAAGTAGTAGTTGTTTTTCTATTCGATCTTGTACAATATATTATTAAGATGAACGTAAGCATTTGACATAAGTCTTTCTCATTTCTACTTCGTAATGATTAATCCATCAAACGTCATAATGATTTTTTGATGAACATGCTTTGCACCTAGTGATTTCTGATGTCTCGATGAGCTTCAATGACAGTACTCCTATCATAAAGCGTGAATGCGAAAGAACCGAGCTCATATGTACTGTGCTCAAGTCGATTATTAATAGTTATTTTCATACAGTCTAGATTGAAACTATTTTCAATCATGAAACAAGTGAGAATGAATTAATCAATGAGATAGATGACGAAAATGATGAAGCTAAACAGCTATTCGATTTCGGCAGTCTAAATGAGACAGAAGATGCAGAGAATGCATGGCGACAGAAATTTTCACTCAAATTCACGAACAGGATTATCAGCTTCTAAGACGAGGACAATGTAATAATTGGTCAAGAACAATAGTAGTACTAGACAATGACGCATTATTTTTCATAAACTTCATGTCAAAGTCACATTGCTCCATTTTTGCTATTACTTTAAAAAATACAGATCAACAAAGAGAAGTTTGACCAAATTGAAGATTGACTGTTGAATATATTCGAAAGAGATGAAAAGAAATCCTTTGTTAGTTAATGATATTGATCGTTGTTAGCAAGAGTTGAAGAAAGTTATGAAAGAATCTTTATACAATAAGGTGACTTCATATTTTCAAACATAAGCAAGATATTATCAGACGTAAAATTTTGTCAATAAGGAAATTCCTAATCAATTCTCGAAACGATTTCGAGAATAGATTTGTTTTTGACGATTAGATAAAAATGAGATTTTTAGATTTTACTTACAGCTTCATTTTTTTCAAAGGTATTTTGAGACAGAACTTGCTAAAAATAATTGTTCATCACAGATTATGATGAAGAGCAAGAGCGAGAATCAAGAAACGACCAGAATTTCATTCGCTTACTTTGTAACCGATATTCGTAAGACTTTGCCGATCTATGAAGTGAGAGCAATCATGGATGCTGACCAGAGTAGAGTTACATTCGAGCTGCATTCTAAGCGTACATTGAACTACTACGGCGAATAAATCAACTATTGCTAATGTTTCTCTATAAACATTAACACATATACGGCTGCATGATGTAATCTATTATCATGCTGTATGTAAGTGTTCTTCCACCATTATATTACTGTCTGAAATACTGCAAACCACAGACAAAGGATAACATTCAAAAGCATCATTTCATATTTTCGAAAATGATGATTACCTGTTGCAGGTTTAAAGAGTTCCAACATTCTGAGTCACCTATTACCATGACTTTAGTCTTCTTCCGTCACTGAGATAACGCAATAAACTCCTAACTTAGATTCTTGAGATGAGTAGATGAATAGAAACAATCTACAAGGTCACATATCAGAAAACACAAAGCTTCAAATACCGCAATGAACTTGATATCAATATCAATGAGTGTAAAGCTATCATCTACCTCAAGTTTTTCAATTACAATCAGCTCTCTTGCAAAGTTTTTCCTCGAAGAATTCGATACATTCGATAGCCTAGACATAGTCTAAGACTCAGGTCTATCAACACCCGTCCTTTATTATCTCAATAAGGTCGAGTTTTCAGTATACGTGCACATGCGGGTATGTCTTGAAATAAAAACAAAAAGAACCTATTCTTTTCTAATCATTACATTTATTTCTTTGAACAAAATAAACATCAATTACACTTTCTTTTTCGCACGTTGGAGATTATCTCCATATAATTGAACATATGGATGATTTGATGGTAGTGAGATTTCCGCTATTTTAAAAGCTCGTTCAAAAAATGAAAGCGCCTTCGAATAGTCACCTATGTTGAAATACGTCAAACCAATGACGTTGTAATAAGGACTTAATTCAGGATGGTCTGAAGGAAGAGCTTTTTCACGAATATTCAGTGCTTTCTGATGAGATGACAATGCATTTAAATAATCATCGACGTTGGAATATGCCACTCCAATGTTGTCATAAGAAGTAGCCAAATCAGAATGGTTTGAAGGCAGAGCTTTTTGACGAATTTCGAGTGCTTTTTGAAAAGATGTAAGTGCCTTTAAACAGTGACCATGTGGTGATACACCAAACCAATGTTATTGTAAGAGGTAGCCAAATGAGGATGATTGGAAGGAAGAGTTTTTTGGCAGATTTCTATCGCTTTTTGGTAATATGAAAGTACCTTCGAATAGTCACTCATACTGTAATAGACCAGACCGATATTGTTGTATAAATTAGCTAAATGAGGATGATTGGAAGGAAGACGTTTTGGCAGATTTCTAGTGCTTTTTGATAATAGGAAAGTGCCTTTGAATAGTCTCTCGTGTTGTAATAAGCCATTCCGATGTTGTTGTAAGAAGTAAAAAAATTAGGATGGTTTTGAGGAAGAATATTTTTGCATATTTCAAGGTTCTTTTCATAATATGAAAGTGCGTTCGAATAGTCACCTGTGTTGCTATAAGCCTATCCAATGTTATTGTAAGAAGCAGTCAAATCACCAGGATTTGAAGGAAGAGTTTTTTGTTTAATTTCCAGTGCTTTTTGATAAAATAAAAGTGCATTCGAATATTCACCCATCTGTTCATACACCAAACCAGTGTTGTTGTAATTAACAGCCAAATCACGATGAATTGAAGAAAGAGTTTTTTGGCAAATATTGAGTGCTTTTTGATGAGGAGAGAGTGCATTTGAATGGGCATTGATGTTGGAATACACCGAACCAATGTTATTGTCAGACACAGTCCAATAGATATTCGTTGATGATAGAATTTTCTGTAGTATATTATGTGCTTGTCGATAATAGGCAACGGCGTCTTTATATTCACCTTGAGCACTCTTGACCACACCAAGTTCATTATAAATAGTAGCTTTTTCCCGATCACTCGAAGCTTGACGAAACAAGGTATCATATATGTCTTTGGCTTTGTCAAGTTGCCCAAGTTGAATCAGCAACTTACCCAAACGATTCCATCCGTCAATATGTGAATAGATCTCTTGGCGCATTCCTTCAGTAAGTGCAAGCAATTCAGGATCATTCTCACTGGTCAATGTTAAATCGACTTGCCAAAGACGATTATTTCCATCGATTTCTTTTATTGAGCCAATACGGAAAATAGAATTCATGGAAAAGAGAATTTCTTTTTCTCCTTCGAAATAACTGACATCATGAATTTGTGCGAAAACAGTAGTTGATGTTGATGGATTGCTAGTTATTTCAAATAAAACACCTATAAGATGAGGATCACTGTGATTACTCTCAGCAAAGGCAAGAGATACTTCTCGATCAACACTTGTCGACAAAAAGTTATTAAATGATAAAAGTCCACCTGTTGTTTTGACCAATTCATTAACGTCCATCTTTGACAGTCCTTGACCACGATACACAGTAAATGAATTTGACGACAAATGTTCAGAGAACTGTTGAGCATGAAGTTCAGCAATGTGATTGTGAAGATCTTGAATGAAAAACCCTATGCTGACAATGAGATCGACCTCCATCATGCGTAATGATCGATTCAGCATTGAATAAAGAAAACAGTTGGATGTGTACCATCATATCGGAGTATGGTTTCGGTATTCCTGTTCGAGTTTGTCGACGGTTTTCAGTTTGTCAGTATCATTTTCGAACAGTTGACGACAATATAAAATAAATTCATTGAGATGTTTTTGTTGAAAGTCAATGGTTAATAAGATTTCTTTTAATATCTGTGTGTACATGAATGATTGATCTAATTCATTTAGATTTCGTTTGCGATTTTCACTATCGATAGGAACAAAACTAATAGTGAGCAAATTTTGATCACATCTATATGCAGCTTGTCGAAGTGTTTTACAAATTGACAAAATATCTGTAAATACACCATTGATTTTCGACCATTGATTGGTTCAACTTTCATATTGGACATAGTCCTCACTCCAAATATAGATAGTACTGATTTGTGGAATGTCATGAACGATTGGAATAATTGTTTGCTCGAAGGAACCAGAAAAGATCATAAATATTTTCTCCTCTTGAATATTAGTTATGAAATCGATTCATTCATTGACATCAGTAAATAGATATATGTTGTTAACCACTTGTTTTAATCTGTTAATGGCATTGATATAATCATCATTATTTATGTCATCAATATTGGCATTAAGCCACACCAGTAGAAAGTTCTGAAACATATGAAGATAAGGAAGAGGTGGTGGTCTTGTTCTGGTATACTCAGACAACGTGGTATTAGTGGCAGTAGCAGCAGTTTTCGTTGTTGTTATCGAATTTTCCCTTCTCTCTATGGTGTGCATGATGCTTAACAATGAAAAAATCTAAAACAAAATGAACTGAACTAATGTCGTTTTCAAAAAGCAATGGGTGTGGCAATTTTTTGAATAATTTTAGAATGGAAAGAGTCAGTGAGCTACGGTTTTCACCGTTCGAAAGAGATGAAACCGGTGCGTCGTTTTGTCCAATATCGTATAAGATGAAATCGTTTTAAAATCAATTATTTCTCCAAAACATTTCAAAAACTGCATGAAAACTGTCTGTCATTGCGATGAGTTTTGGTTTTGATATGTGATTTAGATAGAGGGACTTCAGATCTATAGTTTAAGATATAAGGTGAATGATTATATTCACATATTCTAATGTTAAGTAAATAAAATTCTCTATTTACTCGCTCGAAAAATATGAATTTCTCCTAATTTTTAAGCAAATTTTATCACTTTTTGTTAAAATTTCAATTCAGCGGCAGATAATTTTTCTGGATTTTTTCGATATCTTATAAAAACGGTTGATTTTAAAATGATTCCATCTTATACACTATTGAAGAAGAAGACGTTGTGATGTCTCTTCTTTCAAATGGTGAAAACCGCCGGTTCCTATCTCTTTCCATTCTAGAGTTCTTCAAAAAACAACCACACCCATTGCTTTTTGAAAACGACAATAATATAGTGAATCGGAGTATTTATCATTATGTTTATGTTTGCTCTTGATGGTGTTATCGTTTCGATTCTTTTTTCTTTTTGTTTTACTTAAGTGCTTCACTCCATCTTTTTATCTGTGACTTTCTTTAGTGTCACAACAGTGCACCCAAGTGCAGAAAAGATTTATTGTGACATGATTTCATACACGGCGCCATATTTTACGTTGTTTTTGATGATGTATGAACATTTTTTTCTTTATCTCCTTATGTTGTTGTAACTTTAGAGAAAGTCTTTGGTACTTCCGCATTGGACTCTTCACAGGTCCAATAAAGATCCTGAGAGAATTCACTATTTTTTTTTTGAGGAAATGACTAAATACTGAGAGAAGCGTCTAGACACGAAATTTCAAGATCTTGACAGGATTTAGAACAGAGTTCTAGAAGGATTCTGAGTAGTCTTCTAGTATTTTTATATTAGGGTCCTGGCTGAATTTCAATAATTTCTATTCGAAAAAGAAATTTCTGTTTACAACTTACAGCATTTTAAGAGATTTTCTCAAGGGAACACAAAAGAAATATATATAACGATCAGTTTTCATGCCTTATATAGTTTCATGTGAACACTAATTATCTCAAAAATTTAAAAAGTACAATATCATGTGCAACGTTGTTCTTAGTTCACAAAGTTACACTAGGTTTTTTTATTAATATGAATTCTGTTAAAAAACATCTATTCATGATTTTTTTCTACACATAATCAGAACTATCAATAGATTTTACCAAATGGTTGACTTCTTACTAAAAAGGTTATCTAATGAGAAAAAAGAATCTTATAACAATAATAAAATTAATACCGTAATGTAATAATTTTTCAAAATCTCTCTCAAGATAAAAGGACAAATATAACTAGCGTTTCTAGCCTAACCTTTTACCCTCTCGACCAATTAATAGACTCTCGCTTTTAATAGAAAACCCGATTCTTCGGAGACAACCCTTCCTTTAAATATTTTAAACCTTCTTTTCATTGAATTATTGCTTGATAGTATTTATTGGAAAATAAAAGTTATGAAAGAATGACAGAGGCAGTAATAGCTTATCTATGCATAACAGGAACATATTCTCTTCGAACGAAGAAAAAAAAGCTATTTTCAGCAAGAATGAAAGCGAAAGAAAAAGAATCAGTTACAAATGATACGAAGAAGAAAGAACGATTAATACTAGTAAACCTCCTTTGTATCAGCAGTAATAAACATTTAGAGAATATATAAAATATGCAGTAACAACACCTTGCACTTCTTTGTGGTGCTGATGATTCAAGTGTGAAATTAGTTTGAAGCATTGGTGAATGCGAAAATTAATTGGTACGTTTATCAACAGATTTTTAATTGGAATCCGAAAACAACAATGATGATGATCAAATTTTCAAATGATGTGATTCAACTTCATCATTGTTCCCTATAAGTTCATCAAATATTGATGGATTAAACGATTTTCGTCAGTTAGTACTGTTCACAACGACAAAAGGCAAATGTTGGTTGTTAGGATAAATCTATGAACTATCAACGATGCTAATGGGCAGTCAAAGAAAAAGTTGATGCTATTCCATTATTTGATAAGATTCGAAGCAAACTTGAAACTGCAAAGAAAGAAGGGTATACGACTGCTCAAGAATAGAATTGAAAGAAAAATAAATAAAATTTATCAAAACAGAAAAGATTTGTTTCTATTTTTTTTTTCGTCCTTTTTGACAACATTCATTCATAATAAACGACGGAGTAAAAACAGCATTCTCTCCTTTTTGTATGAATGATCATATTGAATATTATTCCAGGATATCAAGAGATGCCTATTTTCTTGAATCATAAAGAGGAAAGTTCAATCTTAAACAATTTATATTGAAATAAATTTTTCTTTTCGCAATAAGTTCGAATCGTATATCTGAGCTATGAATGATAGAAAGTGAATACATTTGAATTTATGCAAATTGAGAATAAAGCGTATTTTGAATTTTTTATTAGTATTTATAAATGTTTGAAAATATTTCTTCTTTTTTCTTTTAGGTGGTAAAAAAGTGTTTTTTAAAGTTCATTATGAACTTTTTGCTTGATATGAGCCTCGAAGTACCGGTTCCCAAGATATATCTATAACTGCAGCTGATTTTCCAAGAGAAAAAAATGACTCTTTGACATTTGGTTAGAGAAGCTCGAAGAACTGCTGAAGAATTATATCATTCTCCATCATCATGAAGTTTGTATTAAAAGTTCATGAAATGCAGTGGTTGATCATTACAACAACTGAAGAGACAGGGTAAAGTGCCACTTGATCGAATTCATCGTTTATATACTTCTTTTTTTACACGGTCAATCATCATGCTAGTTTATGGTCATTGAAACATGGTTCTATGGATACATTTTACTGGAAAAATGAAATTTAATTGTAATAGTTCATTATTTTTTTGTACTTAACTGTGTATTTGAAATAAAGTCACAGTGAACTAATAGTAATGTTATAACGATATTACTTATATGAAAAAAAAAGGTCAAAAAAGCCAGGTTAAAAAAATTTCGGACAGTATTCACAAAAATTCCATAGAATACCTCAAGTTTTGATTAAATTCAACAAAATAATAAGTTAAAATAGATTTTTCAGGCAACAATCCATTAAGAGCAATGCTTCAGCAAATAATCTGTTTTATGGATTAAAAACGTAATCGATTTTAATTGATTGTAAGAACAATCCGTTAAAATCCACATCATCTAGAATAATCTTTTAGGTAGCATCGTTTCTTGTGTATCGTCTTTTCCTTGCTATTTTTGTTATGACGTGATCATATATTTATGTATTCCATCTATGCCTTCTTTCGTTTTGCTGTCAGGCGTGAATGGATAAATGTTTTTTTACCAGTATATTTCAGTATATTAGGTTTTGTTTGGTTTCTATATCGATCTTGTATTCTCTCTACTGAGTTCTTGACTCTCTAGTACCTGCTAGGATATTCCTTTCGTTTCTAAACTGCTGTATGTATACCCGTGGCTTGTAACAATAAAGGAAATTGTACATATGTGATAAAATAAAACTTCTCTCTGACTTGCAACTGGTTAATGGTTGACTATTTTCACGAATCTAAATAATGGATTAAAAATCTAACTGATTATAATTGATTTCAAGAATAATATGTTATCATCTACTTCCTTTAGAGTAACCTGAATAAGCGACCGAGAATCAAATACGTTTGAGTCGATTTCTGCCCATGAAAAACTTCTGGGAAGAAGATCGCGGTCAACCACGTTAAGTGAAAGCGCGATAGTCAGACTATTTATTCTGTATTTCAAACTGCTTCTTACTGCAGTTTGTAGTGGTTTTAAAATACCGAATATATGGTCTGATTCTCGTGGTTACGTAATAACAGTGAGAATCGAAGGTGATGATTACTGCAGTACAATGCGATTT